TGCTGGGTATGTTATTATCTTTTTATGAGCGAGTATTATCTCCCTTATGTGGAGGTGTATTCTTCCCCTGGGAGTTGTGTTAAGGTGTGATGTATTGTGGGTGCGTTTAGCGTACTTGCTTCTAGGTTACTGCTTAGTACTCCTCTTTCTAGATTTAACTGTTTTGGCTGTTTGGCACTACTAGTTGATGTCTAGCTATAATTATAAGTTTTTTTTGGTGTAATAGTATCTATCGTTTGGGGGAAAAAAAAACTATAAGATCGTTTGATGTTTGTTTTTATGCAATTAAGTTCCAGGTATTTGGAAAGATATTTTGCTTTAATTGGTGTTTCTTTTGATTGTTAATAACAAATTAGTTTTATATTAGTCTAAATTTAATTAAATTATACAACATTAAGTATCCCTTCAATGTGAAACTCAAAAGATTAGAGAGTTGAAGTATCATACAATTTTGCACACATAAGTACGTGACGTCTCTCTTTACAATGACCAAATTATAAAAAATGTAAACACTAAAGGGTACTGATTTTTGTACGTAAAACTATTATAAATGAATCATAACATTTAAGTACATAAAATTAAAAACGAGTACATAGATTGAAGGGAAAAAAATTACCAGTACAACAAAATTGAATAAATCTGGACAAGTTATATAATCAGTAATATTTTTGTTCCCGTTTTCTTCAGGACATCTTTGCGTAAACTTAACATATGCCCTTTAAAAATCTAACCCCTTCTAATTAACATGATTTAGTTTAAAAAAAGTACTGATCGTGGATAAATTAAACTAGATTCCTAAATTTTAACTCAATTTGATCTTTAACAAAAGGGGACAAACATGATAACTGCATAGCATGTATCGTTCATCTCTGTAGTTGCACTAATTGTTCTTTTGATATTAAGAACTCGTTATTGTTGCATATGATACTACTAATTAAGACAACAAAAGAATATTTCACCGTGAAAATTAATAAATAAATAAATATGAGCGTTCTATACCAATTTAAGAGTGTGCTCATGAATGCAATGTAGTTTACTTGAATGGTTTGAAATAAAATGACATGTGGTCCTCATACAACAAATATATTGTTTTTTACGTCAATTTTAATTTTTATCACATGGCCCTAGAGTTTGAAGTGAACATTTGACCATACCAATTGCTACTTTAACAATTTTTATATAGCTATTTTTTTTTTCCGGTAATGTATAGATAAATTCCTAATGTCATAATTAACTTCCTTTTTAGTCCCTAGTTTTTATTTATTACTCTGCACTCCCTATAACATTACTTTCTTTCCTCTCAACTCCCCATATAAATATTATTATTATTATTATTCATTTAATTTAATTGTAGAAAAAAGTATCCTCTCCCTCATGTATCATCTCTCTCTCTATTCATGGACAAACAGTCGCCTTAGGTCTCGTTTACTAGCCTTGATATGATGGGATAAGTTTGGTTAAACAACCTTATCTCTCGTTTACTAAATAGGATAAAAATAATGATATAGATGACCTGACATGAATTGGCTCACGCGTGTATCATTGTTGGTGTGATAAAAAAATCCGACGATTATGTTGTGATAAAATTATCTTTGATAATCAAATAGCCTTTAAAGATTTTGGAAGGGCAAAAAAGAGAAGATAAGAGGGATGGATAATTTGCCTTTTCATTAATTAATAATATAAAACGTGAAAAGGTTGAGAAAAGAAGATATGCCCATATATCCACCATCATCATTTCAGAAGGGCACTTTTGCTCCTTCAAACGAACACCCAATTATCCCTTAAATATTCACACCGTTTGCACCCACCTCCTTCTCTCTCAGTCTCTCTCTCTCTCTCTCTCTCTCTCACCTGCCAACTCATTTTCTCTCTCTTACACACACTTTTCATGCATTTGCAATCAATGCACCATCCCAACAACACTGTTTTCTGCTCCACTGCTTTACCTTCTCTCCCCAAATACACTTTCTGATAAATTTTCCAGTTGGGTTTCACATTTTTTAGTGGGTTGTGTGTAAATGCAGAAATCTGAACTTGAATCTGCGGGCCATGAAAAAGGTAAAAGCTTCACGGGCTCTCTCACCTTCAGTGCTCATCCATTTTCCGTATTTCAAATTGTTCTAAAAAACTTGTTTTTTTTTTCCCTTGGCTATGGCGGGGTACTCGAACATAATAGACTCCTTCACTATTTGTGTATGGGCGTGTGAGTCTCTCTCTCTCAAAGAAAAAAATCTTCTCTTGGGTTTTTGAAGATTTCCTACTTTTTGAGGTGTTTTCGGTTTTGTTGGAATTGTTTGGGATTTTTTTCACAGAATAGCTTGATCTCCTGTTGTTCTGGTTCTTGAGGTTTCAATTGATTATGATTATGTATTGAGGAGTTTACCTATTTTTCGAACTCCATTACCGAAGATTTTGTTAATTACAGTAAGGTCGATATACTGTTTATCTTTTTTTTGTTAAACATTGGGATTCAACACTCTCCAGAACCGAAAATAGATCTACTTTCTGTACTCTCTCTCTCTCTCTCTCTCTCTCTCTCTGTGTGTGTTAGATCTATGGGACTACTGGGTCCTTTCTTTGTAGCAGTTGGCTAGTTCAACCTAAACCTTTTTGGGATTCTTTTTTTTTTTTTTTTT